CCCCAAAACCCCAAAACCCCAAAACCCCAAGATTTTATAAACACGTTGAAGGTTAGTTATAAGAATTTATTAATGCAAAAGTCTGAATGTCATTATCAGAGAGGTACTCATGATATCCACTAATGGCAATCCATTTTTGAGTGTTTATATCGAAGTACTCACATTTACCTTCAAAGGAACCTCCAATCGCATAAATTCTATCTTCTGTACGAGGCATGACTGAGTAAAGAACTCTAGATTCATTCATATTTGGCAGCTTAAGCCATTTATCCATTGTAAAATCAAGCTTATAAGTGTTGTTAATATAGCTAAATTCTCCATCTTCATTGCTGTAAATACCTCCTCAGATAATAATACTCTTTTCTCAAAGTCTGGATACCCCAATTTTGGCTAATCTGAGAGGTAATTTTATCTTTATGTTTGCCCAAAAGTCTAATAGTCAATCATATTTCTCAATAGAGTCAAGAGCCTGGAAATCACTTAATCCTCCAAAGATATAAATAAACTGGTTAGTATTGCATAACTCGCTTGTTGATCCATTATGGTTAGAAGGATTTTTAAAGGAAACTACTCCTGCGTATGCTCTAGAAGTATTCAGAGAAGCAGCTTCACTCCATATGTCTTCTTTGTAATGATACTTTTCTCATGATGCAAGTGTAATTGGCTCAATATCAATGCTATCATCCATGGCAAAGCCACCAATAGCAAACACATATCCATTACAGAAGATGGAACAGTGGCCATATCTAGGCGAATTCATACTGGCTCTTTTTGTAAAATTTCTAGTATTTGAAAGTCTAAAAGCAAATCACTCGTTGCTTGCTTTATTTGTGGTGACATTTCATCCTCCAGCGAGTAAATAGTCTCCTGTTTTGCCCACACTTCAAATACTGAGGTATTTTAGATTCCCTTTAACATTGAGATCTTTGGCTCTATAAAGGATTAACAAAACAGTTACGTCTCTTCTTCGCTATCGTTGTAATATTTCCTGATGTTCCAATTATCATTGGAGATATCGTACTCAAGCTGGAAGGGGCATTCTCCTATACAGTAGATATTCACAGGAGAATGTTTCTGCTTATGAACAGTTCCTGTACTTTGCAAAGCATTTGAGTGGAGATTTCTAGATTCGTGAGGAGCTCGATGAACTGAAGGTTCATCCTTCTGCATAGTATTTGCAATAGCCATGTTCGAATTATACATCCCGTTTAGCTAAAGATGATTTAAAACTTACATCCTGCTTGTGCTCTTCTACTGCTACTGGGTTAGCAATTTCATGAGCAATATCTTTATTTCGCATGTCTTCACTTTTTGGCTTTCCCAAGTTCACTCGAATCGGTTGCCTAGAAGAATTATAGCATGTTTACTGTTTGAAAGGATCCATATCCCTATTTTGCTTTATCTCTTGAATTCTATTTCTTACTAGACTAGGCTGAGGATCTGAGTCAAAAGCAGGTGTATCAGCTTGTCTCTTTAGAGACGCTTCCCTCTCAAGAATATTCCTCCGACTGCCTGAATCTATCGGGGCGGCTACTGAAGAAGTTTTGGTAAAATTTTGCTGATATTCACCTGGAAGTTTATCAAGACTTGCTAATGATCTCCGATGCTTAGAGCTATCAAGAGGAGGAAGACCTTTGCTTATCTCTTCAGCATTAGGAAAGTCCTGGTGGTTGCTCCTAGCCTGTGATGGCATTTGGTTAGAAGAGAAAATCCTGTCTTCTTTGGGTTTGTCAAACTCTAATTTTGAAATAGCTTCCAAGGCCTTATCAACATTCATGCTGAGTGGCCGCAGATCAGGATTAATAGAAAATTTATTTTTATTTAAAGACTGGTCGTTCGAAATAGAGTCTACCTTCATGTTAGACTCTTGAGTAAAGTTGTTGATCTCATAATACCTCTCTAGTACAGGTACATCATGGGTAGTTTTTATATCAACTCAACATATTCTAGAAATCATTACCAAAATTACCATGATGAGTTTGATGAATCATGTAAAGCTGCTTTTGCTGAAGAAGTAAAGGCTCTTCTATTCTCTTCATTTCTTTAATCTCATTATCATATTTCCTCGTGAGTTTTTCTGTGAGATCAACTCTCTTGTCCTGGAGTGCCTTCATAAGAGTTTGGAAACCAACTTCAATATTAGAAAGTTGTTTATCTTTCATAGCATTGATTTGGACTAATAGAGATTCAACCTCTTTTGCCATTACAGAGTTGCTATAAATTTTATCATTCTCAGAGAGTTAATTCTTACATATGAGAAGCAGCCTTATTCTTTTCATCTATTCTATCAAGACCTTTGGAAAGGATGGCAGTTGCATCCTCCATCTGGCATAGGTTGTGCCCGTTGTGAGTGATAAAGATACATTTAGAGCACACAATCTCTCCGCAGCCTAGGTTATGATATTAGTTTTTATATAATGACAAGTTAGGCTTACCTCTGCAAAAGTATTCAATTTCTCTATCAGGATGCTTCTTGCAGCTGAATAGTTGTTGCTTCATAGCATTGCTAGGTCGAGGATTAAAATAGAAAAAGATCAATTACCCGTCGTTCATGTTGAAATTCATTAATAATCAATATTCTTATTATCTTGGGGTTTTGGGGTTTTGGGGTTTTGGGGTTTTGGGGTTTTGGGG